ACTCCTTTCTCTTTTTTTTAACCATTTCTATTTCACTTGTGCTTTCATGCAATTGCGAATAAAGTGCTACCAGTCTCATTTTTTGGGTCCAACATTTCAACACGCTCGTGGAATAGAACGACCGTAACGCTTGTACCGTGACAAATGTACTGCCCGTGTGTCGTGACGTCGGGGCGACGTGTTGTGATATCAATAGGTATCGCACCATTGTTGTTGTTGTGCGTTATTGGAAAACGAAGATGAAGCCGGTACGAGTATTTTCAGACGAGCGGCAATTAAAACAGCCAAAGTGGCTCGGCTCAATTTTCATCCGCAAACCATCTAATTTGTGGACACTGACACCGTGCGTACTTATTTTTAATGGAGAATCGCCGTCGCTTTGAGTCAATACATCATCGCAAAAGACTGCTGGAGTTCGGGTTGAAGTTTTCTTCTCAGGCGACCGCTCGGCCGGTTTGTAAGCATTATTCACTCACCGCGTAGTATATTACAACTTGCCTTTTATAGGCGCTGTTGTATTTTACATCGCAGGCATTCACAGGCGGCGACGTGGCCGCCCGTCACCATGCGAAAACATCCCGTTTCTCATAAAAGTGAGCGACGTCGCGCAAGCATCGGACTCGGGGTGGTGAAAGGCCAAGTTGAAGCTCGGAGACACTGGCCACTGTTTGAGCTTGTCGCCGGGGCATTTTTCATCGCGCGCGCGCGTGACAGAAAGATAACACTCTGTCGCTCAGGGCCCATCCGTCTTCGTTTCCAAGCCGCTCCTGGAGAATTCAATCCGGAGAGCGTTGTGTTGGACACATCGGCGATTAATCAACTCCACTCATGCCTCTTTGTCCCGGTGTGATAAATCATTGGCCATCCCTGCGCTGGATGCACAATGGCCGAGCCGCCCGCCGCCCCAACCCCACCTCTTTCCTTCTGCCCGTAAAAAGATAAATTCATCTATGGGTTGACATGCTCGCATAAAGCACTGCAAGAGTAGTTAGCGTCTGGCCTTTTTGCGGGAGGGGAACAGAGGGGATTTGTCACGGGGGGGGGGTACTGACATTCTGTTCGGAAGATATTGTCTGAAAAAAAAAAAAACTAGTATAACTGCTAATACAACTCTTATATTAAAGTAATAAAGCACAGACTGACGTTTCCATAAATGTTTGGATAATCAACAAAATATTTATCTGCACACACAAAAAAAATCCCTCTTTTATTTATTCCCTCTTTCATGAAAAAAAAATATATATATGTATACATACATATATATATACATACATACACGTAATATATATATATATATATATATTTTTTTTTTCCGTGCAGTCAAGTTTGATTGACTCAAATTCTTTTGTTATGGTCCACTTCAGTTACTTTCGGCCGCCTCGCTCGATGAATAAGATGATGGATGGGCAATATCTTGTTGCATGTTGCATTGCTGCTGTCCCTGTTTTATTTTCTGCTCCATCAAATCAATCAATCAATCAATCAATCACTCATGGCTGACTTCACCCGTCTCTATTTATGTCTTTTTCCATATTGTGTCATCACGCTCAAGTTGGAAGAAAGCAACGAGTCCGTTTTGATTAAAAGGAAGGGATAGAATGTACACTTTTCAAACGTAGGGACATAAAAGGAAAAAAAAGTCCTCACAACTGGAAGTAAAAGACCCGAAAAATCGACTTTAGCACAATAGCAAACGATTTGTATTTTGTGAACTTCCCAACACTGGAATTTGTCAGGGTAAAAAACGGGCTTGGAAGACAGGCCGACAGCAGGGACGCTGTGGGAAACAGACACACACACACACACACACACACACACACACACACACACACACACACACACACTGCGGTGTAGCTGGTGAACGACTCCACCGGGGCTGTCGAGAAGGATCCCACTTGAGAGCGAGTCAACCGTGACGCCAGCGTTTGCTCCACGTGTCATTAGCTAGACGTTTACGAGAAGAAGGCGGGAGCCGCCGCCGCCTCGAGAAGGTTCGGAAGTGACCGCGACCTTGTTGGAGGTCAACTCCAACTCCTTGCGTGGGGCTGTAAACATTGACGGATGGCGAAATATGTTTCCGGAATGATCTGATTTCAGAACCCAAGACTCTTTGTACCCCTCAACTCAGTTTTTGGTTCTTTGTTGTGATTTTATTTATTTATTTATTTATCTATTTATTGTCTTCTATTTTTGTTATCTATTTGTTATGTAATATCCACTTATCCCATTCAGCTCTGTGCTCGTCATGTGTGAAAAATTGTGTGAAAAATTGTTTCCAAAAAAAAAAAAAAAAGCGTTGCTTTGACCACATCCTGCGGGCATAAATTTTGCAGGTGTCCGGGTGTCCACCTCTGGTGCGCAAATCCTTTTCCAGCTAAGTGGAGCAGGAAACGCACCGAAGGGTCATTCAGTTCATCCACCTGCTGCCTGGAGCTAAAAAGGAAGCCGCCCTATTCACCCCCCCCCACCCCCCTTCCCTTCTTCCATCGAACAGGTGTGCCATCCCCATCAAAACAAGACAACTCACGCGGCCAGAAAACAAAAGTCAGTCAATGCGTCAATCGTCCTTCAGAAGAGAGCGGCGCAAGCTCTAATGCGCTACTTCTCATTCAAACGTATAGTGACGTCTCGAGCCTGAAATGGGTACAAAACAACTTCTGCAGCACTTTGCTAGCAACAAAGACTAATTTAAAATGTCAAAGATAATCCTGCTCATAGACATGTTACTTTCAAGTGGCATGAAGGACATGAAAAAAAAAAAAAAAAGAATGTGCATTTGCCTCTGCGCTGTAAAAAAAATAATTGGATGAAGAAAGTTGACATTTTAAATTGGCCAAGTCAGCTCCATGTTTCATTTGAGTTTTGCTGTTGAAAAAAAAAAAATTGCCGCATTCCACAACAGAGGAATGAGAATTTACAGAACCGTCATCTCAACGGAACGAGAGCAGGAAAAAGACAGCGGCGAATTGTTTGGGTACTTGACTTTGCCGTGCTAACAACAACTCTTGCCATTTTCAAGTCGGCCCATCCCAAACTACTGCACTCGGATAACGAGCCGTACGGCGACAATGACTTTCAACTTGCTTACTAAATCAGTGGCACGACTGAGAAGAGGTTTTATATTACCGACATCACATTAGTAATTCCTTGCAACAACGCCGTTACAGTCAAACGTGAGCGCTACTGTCATTGCGGAGCACCGTACACAAAGGCAGGGCCGCGGCGATTGTTTGCATGCAGTTTGGTTGGGAATGCTAGCGTATTTGTGTGCGCCAGCGTGTTTGTGTGTGTGTGTGTGTGTGTGTGTGTGGGTGTGTGTGTGTGTGCGTGTGCGTGTGCGTGTGCGTGTGGTTTGTGTGTGGTTGTAAGGTGAGAAGCCACGGGTGGGCGCGGCTCTCCCAAATGTGTGAGGATTGCAATCGTAACATGTAGCCTGGAGCAAAGGAACCATAACTCCGTCAGCCAGACGGCGTGAGAGGCCCGCGCCCTGCAGGCGCTGGTTCAACATCATCACTGAACTTCCAAACGTTTGCGGGGGGAGGAAAGCTTCAAAAGCCCGAGTTGGACGAGTGGAAACGCGTCGTCCTTTTTTTTGGTTTGCGTCATGTAAACACACAAGCAGACAAACACAAACAGGAGGGCCCATTTTTTCCGCCCCCAAACTCCACAAGCATCATTTCGCCGTGAAGCGCAAACAAAGCGACGCACGTCGCACCCTATGATTTGGGCGTGGAAAACAAAACAACAACAACAAAAAACGAGCGGCGCTAGCACGCACCGGTTCAACGGGTACAAACGCCGCAGTGGAAAACTGGCGCTTGGGCACAGACAAACAGATAAACAGACAAACAGGCATCGCGCTGGCATCGCGTTGGCGGCTCGCCTGCTCGGCGCCGAACTACAACAGGCCTGACACAAACAAGAAAAAAAAGTTCATTTCGACAACATTATCTCCCCGTTTCGCCGGAAAATGTGACTTGGCAAAACTTTTTGGACAATACACCTATGCCATTATGGTATTTCTTATTTTAAGTCAAAGGTGTCCAAAGTTTTACTTCCAAGGACCTCATAGGAAAAAAATAAAAATAAAAATTACTAGATGCAAGGGCCACTCTGACAATTTTCACCTTGAATTTAATGAACACGTAATATGTGTGAATTTTCATAATTGATCACAAATCCATAACATTGGTATGTCCCCCATGTCGTGGTTTACTTTTACACATTTTTTAGACTAAATCAAAGAGCTGAAAATAGCTTGAGAACAAATCTTTTACTTTTCTTCTGACGCCTCAAATCTTTGAGAAGTGTCGTTAAACTCCCGACTTTCGTCACTCCTTTTTGTTGTTTTTTTTTTTTTTTAAAGGACAATAACATGTCGAAATAGTCAGGTTCGATCCATTGGAGTAAGCCTGTTGTGTTCAAAGTGAGTAGCCGTGATGCTTCAGTGCAAAAGGAAGCGGTCAGCCATGAAGTTACGTTTGTTTGCCGTTTCAATTCTTTTTACACACTGCTTAGTGTGCTCGTTGTTCTATTTCTTGCATCGCTCTCGACTCGAAGACCTTTGAAGAAGAATTTGGGAAGACGCTTTCAACGGCTTTTTAACATTTCTTTGACAAGTAGTGATTTTGGAAATGCGAGGCTCCCATCCGACTGCGACGAAATGTATTTGGAAAAAATAAATAAAATGACTCGGTGATAAAACAACAAGTCAATAAATTTTGTGAATATTAATGTTGCTAATTTTGAATTTTTTGAATGGCGGGCAATGACACAACTAAAATGAAAGCACCCATGGCAGCCATCAGAACACGGCTGCTTGATGGCATGAAGGAAATAAGCAGCACAAAAAAAAAATCAAAACAAAACAAAACAAAAAACACAAATGTGTCCACATTCAGTAATGCACATACAAGTAAGCATATCAAACCCCAAACGCGATATAATCTGTCAACGTGACAAGATGAAACACGCCGATAGTGGGATCGTGTGGTACGTACCTTATCTTCCAGCCGGATCAGTCGCGCTCCGATTGTCGGGAATTCTTTATCTTCTCCTTTACCTGGCAAACGAAAGAGAAACATTCGTGTATAAATATTTTGATGAGCCCAATCTCGCCTCCGAAGAAATTGCACGGAATACTCTGACTGTGTGTTCGCATCGTATATCAATAACCAGTATAAATAATATATACTTGATATGTATTCGTGTATCACGTTTATGTTTAGGTTGCTGCATCGTTTGCGTTAAAATATTCATTATTAAAAGGTTTAAAACAACCACGCGCCATTCTGATGACACCTTATGTGTTAGTTTTTAACTAGCGGACGAAGCTATTTATTCTGTCAGCTCCATAATGCGTACTTTTATTTGTTTATTGTTATTTTTCCACTCAACTTCAACTGGGAGTATCTTCGAATGCTTGAAGCAAGCAGACACGGACAGTTTTCGAAAAACTGTTGGCTTTTTGCCAAACTGAAGCATGGCTGACAGAGTAGCATATGTCAGGCTGGGAATGTGGTATCTGTGTCATGGTGTCGGAGTATTTTTTTTTTGTCGGAATAGTACACGGGCATGTAAGTATGAGGATTATTTAGCTGGATTGAGCGGCTTTTGTGAGCTTTGATTTTGCTATTCTGGCGCGGTGCATGAGATTCCTTTTACAACAAATAAGTCATAATATATATATATATGAGGTTCGAAAAAAAAAAAAACGTTTTAACATATCGTATCAAGTACAACTTTATTGTCAAATTTCTTCCCTCTCACAACACAGAAAAATATATTCCCCACAGTTGTTCAGGCAAATTGTGCCATTCGCTTACAGAAAAAGTACAAGTGAAGATGTTCTTCTGTTATTGAATTCAAATTGTAAATATCACTTAAAAACATCTTTGGTTTAATTTATGCGTCGGAAATATTAGGATGGGGTGGGGAAAAACAAAAAAGGATTTTGCGTGGTTATTTTGTAATTCCTACAGCCTTTAATAGTCAAGCATGCGGGTCAGCCAAGGGATGTTTACAAAGCACCTGGGAACTGGACCAAAAGGAAGGAAAGGAAGGAAACGGAGTAACAGTTGGCGGAGGGTGTGGGGGCAGGGAGAGGGTTGATGGTTTTTTGTTGTTTTTTTTAACTTGAGCGTTTATGCAAAAGCAAAGATTTTTATTTGACCTTGTTCATAAATAAATAAATCATCAGTAGTTGGAATGCCGAAAAAGTGATACAATTTGGGGCCTGGAAAATCTGGCACGTTCAGCTCAGTCGACCTCATTTCAGTCAGCATCAAAGGATTAATTCTGCTGGTGTGTTTTGTATTTTCCTTCTGTCTTTTTTTGAAAAACATTTTACCAGACTCAAAAGTACTTTTGTTCAGTATTTGCGAGTATTAGAGTGTCACGATATTTGAAACCGATGCTGTTGCTTGTGCCCAGTTTTATTTTATTTGGTGGCTACTTCCTGCTTTCATCCCATTCCCGCTGATTTTAGATCATTTACCTGGAGCTGGAAGTGACCACCTTTTTATCAAACATGAACCTTGATTTGGCCTGCTTTAATGCTTGTCATTTGCACTGAAAAGTTTGAGTGTTTTAGCATTTGTGGAGCAGGTAAGGGAAGTGGCACTGTCGTTGGAACCTTGTAACGGCTGAGCAAACAGGTTTTTAATTCCAAATTTCTCGGTGGGGAGCAGTTCGCACTCTTTAATGACCTTTTAGCGTTAAATAAAAGCACTCTGCAAATGTCATATCCACATCGAAGCTGCTTCAACATTTGCCAAAGGGGCCGCACAGTCGTGAGAGGCAAATATTTGAGAAACCCACCCCGAAAAAAGGGGCTGGAGGCGTGGGGGGGGCTCCCGCATGGCCTCTTGTAACTACGTTCATCTTCTTCTCCTTCAGATACCAAGTTAGTCAGTGCAATAAACAAAGTTGGCTTGGGGGAGTTGAGGCTATTGCCACAGAGGGGCCGTTAACTAGATTGACATTGCACAATAAAATATCTGAATGGTGGCCACTGTAGTCTGAACGTGGTCAGAAGGGGGAGGATCACATTTGGGAATATTTGTGTTGAGATGAAGATGCGCAGATGTCTGAGAGGATCAAGTTGTTGAGCTGTTGCGCTAAATAGTGGCAGTTAATTTAACAACAAGCAGCAGTTTGACAAATAGTGAACAGCTCTTCAAAACGTAAATAGTTGACGGGAAATTCTCATTTGAAATGATTTTAATCTGATCGATTAAAAAAAAAAAGTCTCACTGTAAACCCGACTTATGTCAGGTTGTCAACTTCTAAGGTGTGCAGATTCATTTTCAGCCATTAAACTGGTTTTGAAAGGTAGACAGCTGGCTTTCGCGAGTCAACCAGTCAAACGCTGCTCGCCGCTAGCCGCTCGTCACTAACGCTGTGACGGCTTTTGAAAAGTAATTAGCCGGCTGTCACAAGTCAACCAGTCACTCGCTGCTAGCTGCTAGTCGCTAACGCCGTGACTGCTTTTGAAAAGTAGTTAGCCGGCCGTCGCGAGTCAACTTTTCACTCGCTGTTAGCAGCTAGGTGCTAACTCCAACGACTGGTGCCATATTGCCCGGACTTAGTGTATTCATTTGTATTTCAACATGATTTCGGAAAGGTGTTGCGTTGATGACAAGACACACATCTTGGGTTTAGTGATACTGACGAAGCCGTCATGCAAACCGAAGCCATGTCGCGGTTATCGTGCGCTCTAAATCATCAAGTGGAAAAAGAAGCCAATTTGAAATCTGTCTGGTAACAGTTATGTATTGTATGTATGCGCAAGTTTATTAAAATACAGTGTGTCTATCAGACGTACACTCCTGTGTTTTTACCTGGGAGGAACATTCCCGGCTTTCCCAGTGTGCCATCCAACCTACAGGGGACGGGGGTGGGGGAGCCAAAAATTAGTGAATCGAATGATACACACGCACGCATGCACTGCACACACACGTGCCGGTCTATGTACTGTATAGTGGCACTAAAATGAAACATATGGATTTCTACACCCCGTATATCATGGGATGGAGAAAAAATATGCACTTAAAAATGGGATGGAAAATTCCACCGCTATTCTTCCCGACGGGTTTCATGTGCACACATGGACTGCTCATCATTCGTGGTGTGTTGAGGTCCTCATAAAATTTTACAATATATTGCTTTTATCTTGTGCAGGGTTTCGAACAAGTCTTGGTTGTGAATTTCGACTCTCTAATTCTCATTTGACAGGATCGTATTGCATTTAATCTTTTCAGGGACAAGTGTCACTATAGTGGGCAGCTTATCATGTTGTCAGGTTACAGGTCATCATTAATGGTGCATGAAAGGGTTAATAATAACTTTTGCGTAGAATGTTGCCTTTTCGAAAGAGTTCTTCTGGGCGCATTTCATTGACATGTTGCACCTGTGCAATACAAAGCATGTATCTCCAACTGGCGAGCGTTCCGTCTTTGTATTCGGAATTCATTTTCTTGTTTTGTAATTTAAAAAAAAAAAAAAAAATGTCATGCTACAGTGTATGTATTGACGTTTTAGCACCGTTTTGGTTGTTGTTTAGATATTAAAAAGCATGTATAGGCTTTTTTTTTAACCCCCAAATATTTTGACACCAAATATTATTGTATGAAAGACATTTTGTGGCATTAAACGAAACAAATAAATAAAGGCCGCACCTTCTCTGCAGCTCCTTGATGCGCACCATCATGTTGAGATGACCTTGTGAGTACTGCTCGATCACATCACGGACATCATACGGCTTACGCGCTTGCTGAGGATCGCACGCACACACAGAAAAACACAAACAAACAAATAAATAAATAAATATGGAAGGGATACAAAAGCCATTGTCAACCCTAAAAAAAAACATGCCCAAACCCCACAGGTGCAAAAGGTTCATTAACTCCGTATGCTCGAATGTGTGTGTGTGTGAGCGCGCGAGTGTTTGTGCATGAAGTGACAAGTGCACGGTAATGTAGAGAGCAATCGCATTAAGGTCCTTTCACAGCTTTGTTTTGTGTGACGTGGATACAAGCGCCGTCAGAAAGAACCCGGTGAACTCTTTAAGGGTGCAGCTGAGCTAACTTATAAGGGCCCTAATTGAAAACACACACAAACACGCACACGCGCACGCACACACACACACACACACACACAAGAAGCTGTGTGCATCGCACCGTGTGTGCATGAGCTGATGTGTGTCATACAAAACAATTATATTTATAAATGCTCGATTGCGGCAAGTGCATAGACTTCTGTGCTCAGTGGAACCATTTGGATGCTCCGCTGGCCTGGCTGCTTCAGAGTGCCTCGTTGTCAACCACGAGTACAAGCACATCAAGCAGCAGAATAACAAGGCTGGTAGGATTTTTTTTTTTTGTTTGTTTGTTTGTTTTTTTTTTTTGTTTTGTTTATAAGTCCTACTTGACAGCCAGAGTGTGGACCGGAGCTTCAGGTTGGCGTGGCCGCCTTAGAACGCCTCGTCGTTTGGCCATCTCTCGCAGAGAGAGAGAGGGCGACAAGTGCAAGGTGAAATCAATTTCAACAAAAGTCCAATGAGACAGCCAGCGTGTGGAAAGAGGAGGTGTCCTGGCGTGGCTGCGAAGCGCCTTGTTGTTGTGACATGGGAAGAAAAACAAAACCCTGCAATGACCTGGTGGTAATCATTCCAAATGCTCCAGTGTACTTCTCTTAGCCTAAGACATATTGTACTGAGCAACCAGGACGGAAATGTGAACTACTTTCATACATTGCAGTAAGTTCCATTTCTGGTGCTATGGTTGTCATCACCGAAATTGCAAAGACAAAACAAACATAGTGAGGTTAATATTTTGAATACTCATAGATTCTTGTCGGTGTTATTTAGCTTAGCAATGTTGCATTGAGCACTTTTCTAGGCTGTTTCTGTATCCCCCCCACCCCCCCCCAACAAAGGGCACATGTATGTCCGCAGTACTTAGCTTAGCTTTAGCCATACTGAACTGAGCATAAGTCACCCTTTCTGAACATGGAAAACTAATTACGATTTTGACTCGTGATTTAAAAAATATGTTTTCATTTTCATGTTCAAACCAAGTTAAAATTAACATAAATTTAGGGGTGGGGGGGGCAGCCAAAGCAAAGATGTGCAACTTTTCGTCATCCCAATAAGATTTATTTGCTGTCTATGACTCATGCTTACATGCTCACTAACAAGCTGAAGTGTATTTTTACACCGACACGTAATTTGTGCCTGACAGTCGTCATGTTGACATGTTTCCATACCAACGAACGCCGGTTGCCGTCAGTGATATTTTGTGTGAACTTGGCCCAAAAAGCACGTGGGCAGGTGCAGGGTTTGTACAGACACACACACACACACACAGAGGTACATATGCAAAGCAACAGTGCAGCTGATGTTGCAAGACCCCCACCCTCCCACCCCCATTCCTATTCCTATTCCTGTGCAACCGCAACATAACACAGAATGTATGCGCGCCTTCTCCCTCTTGCTTTTTACTGACCTGGAACTTCTTGCGGGCCACAAAGTACTGCATGCGACGCAGGACTTTGACGGCGGACCTCTGGGCGTGAGACAACCTGTGATGCAGACACACAGAAAGAATGATTCATTTAATTGAAAACATCACAAATAATAAGGAAACATAAAGAGCTCAAATATCGCAAAATGGTTACTTGTTTTGTTGTTACTAGTACAAAAAAGACAATTTCATTGGGGCAAATGTGCTGCCAGATCCATCAGATGGCGCTGTAGTGAAAAAAAGCTGGTTAGTGTTGCTTTCAGGCAAATTTTAGATGCAAAAAGCCATAGCTTGATTGCAATGTTAAGACCAGAAAATACGCAAGCCGATTGTCTAACTTCCTGTTTCTGCAGGCTCTCCCTGTCCTTTCTCTGCTTTGTGAGGCCGTGGAAACCTCCGTTAGAGAACCAAGTGGGGCACAAAAAAAAAAAAAAAACGACTCTTAGTGACCGTTTCACTCTGTTCCATTCTCACTGACCATACAGAACGGACGGTTAAAGCATCTTGCTTACTTTAACTTTTATTGGCATAACTCTTTAAGTATAAGTCCGTAACTCGGGCTCGTAACATCGGGTAGAACGTACGTCACTTCCTGTTTCTCACTCAAAGCTGTCCCACTAGCAACATCAACTCAATTTAACAAGACTATTGTTACAGTGACGACTTTAAATTGGGGTAACCAGCTCCTTTGCAATTCCTGATTATAAAGTGGAACCCGAAGTTGTATAACGATATGTGCAGACTCATCATTTTCTTTCTGATTTAGTTCAATTCCAATGGGAAATAAATTCTATTTAAAAAAAAAAGCCTTTCAGACATTGAGAGGATGATGTGTATATTTTCTACTAAGCGGCTAGTGCAGCGCCATTAACGCCCTGCGCAACACAAGCGCAACGGTTAAGAAGCGCACATTCGCCAGCAACCGGGTCGTGTCCCGACACGCACATTTACATTTTAAATATGACCACTCCCAAATGGATCTGCAGCCTTGTGCAGAGCCAACTGGAGGAAAAACAGGCCAGGTTTGCGTTGAAAAGGCTCCCTAAAAGCACGTCCCTTGGTCTCGTAGCAGCACATCTGTGTCAACACAAAGGCAGGGAAGAAAAAAAAAAAGCCCACTGGTATGGAGTTAAATGCCGGAGTAGAAACCGCTAGATGCAAACAGCGCACACGCACACACGCACACACACACACAAGCCATCCTCACTATCGTTGAAGTGTATGGCACGCACGTGTGTGTTTGTTTTCTCTTGGAGGCGCATGTCTTTCTGCGCCCGGAGTGTGACAGCTGCATGTTTGGATGATTTGTGCAGCCTTGCGAGAGTAAATAGAAGCCCGGGATAGAACATTTTGTTGACTGTGTGGCTTTTGCGCTCATCCGAGCCATTAAAGCGCACCGAGTACAAGACTTGAAATCGCATCAGTCGTCAAAATTGCCATGTGAATTGAGGGGCGCCAGAGGAGGGCGGAGGGCGGGG